ACAGGAAAAATACAAAACAATAACAGTAGTCCGACTGATTACTACAATAACAGGCAAGTTGCTCGCCCAGGAGACATCAAGGCAAGTGGTCGGGTCCCCTCAGGGCAAACCCCCTTCCAAGACTAAACTCACTGGGAATACACAAGCAGACATGAGCTCTGATTGGTGACCACGTTCGTCACTGATAAGGGCAAGTGAGGGAAAAACAGCAATGAAGCTGCAAGCTAAGCCCTACAATGTTCAATAGACTCCTGTGAACCCTGATGGAGACCTGGTCAGCCAGCAGTATGGCAAGACCTGAGGATTCTTGGGCCCAGAGTCATTGAAATAGCCACAGAGGACTAGAGTGGAAAGTGAAGTGTCCAGCTAATAATAAGAGAGGGCATATGCATAAGGACACCCACACTTGCAGATAATACCCATTCGACCTGGCTTCAATGACTGGATGATCAGAGCTCAACTAGAAGAAAGAAGAGGAAAAAAAGAGTAATCTGATAAAATTTAATGAACTTGACCTACACCTATGGATGCAGTAGCTCAAAAGAGGGAACAAACCTTTACAGCGAGGATCATTCCCACCCCCTCCATACACAGAGTAGATAGACAGGGATGGGCAACTTGGACATTGGCTATCCAAAATGGAGGGACTACAAAGGTAAGAAGTGACTGGCTTAAAAGCTTTCAAGAGGGAGCCTACCAGAGGGCATGGAGGAAGGTAGACTCTCCACTGAGTAGTATCCAATCTGTCTGGGCAGGACTGATGAAAGGAGATACGGATAGGTCTCTTGTGATACAACAGTGAATAATTGTTATCAGGACTGATTGTAAGGTTTGGAAATGTAAAGGTGACATTTTGTAGCAAAAGGAGGGGAGCGATTGACTTTGTAGTCTAGGAGTGGAGAGGTCCCTGGGACCATCAAGGGAGAACAGCAGAGAGTGGGACCCTACCCAGAGAAGCAGTGATGCCAGAGATGGAGGCAGAAACGATGACGTGGAGAGATGGAACTTTAGACCCAGAGAGGGAGAAGGGCTGTGTGCTGATGATCAGGGGGCAGGCTTGCAGGGTATATCCCTTGGTTGGTTGATGATGCATGGAGGGGATTGTAACCATAGCAATGAAATGATATA